AAGTCATATACACTATTTAGATCTACGTTATGGCATCTAATGTTGATTGTTCAAAGGGAGTGAGAGTTTTTACCAAATCATTTCCAAATGCGCCTCTGTCTAGACACGAGGAAGCAGACAAGATGAGAATGACATACTTCGAATAATCGAATACCTCAGCAAAGTCCCTTTACATCCTTTTTACATAAATTTGGGTCACATTTGGTTTTGCTCCTTTACCAATGCTCTCAGAAGTAACTTTGTTTCCTGTTATTACTAAAGTCAGAAGTGAACGTTTCACGGACCGCTGCGCGTCAAGTTTCCATAGTAGGTCATAAACCTGCTCGGTACTTGAAAGGGTCACAAAAATCGAAAATGAATGTTATACATGGAAAATAAAACTTTGGCCCGTATACGGGCCACGCGGTCCCAGGAGCTTAAACGTTTATTCACTACTATAAAGCAACAATCTGTAGATTTACAAGTATAAGTGATACAAATACAAGCGATACTCGATGAGATTCTTTCACAGAAGCAGTAAAACGAATTTTTTTACAATAACATATATACAAGGTCATCGTAGCTATAATGTTAGCTTGAAATAATACTAATTCGAGGATTTCTTATAGAATACGAAGATCATTCAATTTCAACACCATGTTCATCGTAAATCTTGAGTCTTTCGACTAAAGTAAGAGATCGAGGTGGCTGGTAGCAAAAAGGATTTGGAGGTGGTGCATATGATCTCAGATCGATGAATCCAGAGGTAGTCTCAATACGAAATATGCTCCTATCAGTAGGTTCAAGAGCAGAGTAGGAGAACTTCAGTCCTGAAGCAGGCGCAGCGAGTACTTCCTTTTCGCCCAGTTGACCTGGTCGATCGTTCGAATCCGTCTGAATATCAGCATTTGGACATGAGCTTGACGGGCGACACCTAAACCCGCTAAATGTTGTTCAAGGCCGCGCTCCTTCCAAAAAATTCTGTCCAATTAGTTTATGCAATGCTAGATATCCTAACTAGGGTATTAATGCACTTGTGCCGCGGGGTGAGGGAGTTCAGACCAAGGAGCTCCTTCAATAAATGAACATCAGCAATACTACTACCCAAACCCCCCAGAAACAAAAGGCAGCGAAAAACAGTACCACTTGCACATGTCATGATCGTTGAAGCGGCGTGGTTACTTACCCAATCAGTCGAAGTATCAAACGAACTCTACGACGCCATTGATGAGATGGTCAGAGTTCCCGGAAAAGCATTGGAAGTAGAGAATGATGGAAGCCGTCTGCTTTCCGCGAAAAGGGCCCCATGGACCACTAGACCCTTGACAGTGGTGAAACCGCTAATATTGTATTTATTGCGGGGTGGGGGGGTTGGAAATTAGTAAACGGGTCTACAGCCAGTACCTTAGGGAGTTTGAAGTATTCTTTGTAGTACAGTGCGTTTCATAATTATAAGGTCACCCTCAAATTTTGCACTTTCAGAAAAAGCAATCATTAAAGATTTTTTCTAGCATCATAAACGGATGTCCCAGCACGAATGACCTAGGTTTCCGTTTTTTAGCCGCAGCTGCATCTTTCTGAACTTTTTTAGAACAGTTTATCGGTGGTTGCGCCGTTTCATAATTACAAGGTCACCCCGAGAAAGTGAAAAATTATTCATGGAAGAGAGGAAATTTCGTGTTTAAAGATACTTATAAAGGTAAGCATGTGTAGCAAATGCGTTTCTAAACCTGGCTGTCAACATGGCTCCTGGTCATCTGCTTTCCACTGATGAGAAGGCTCATCATGAAGGTGGGCTCAGTACTCGAGCAATCTCCACGCAAATAGGGAGATCCCCTTGGTCCATTCAAAGATTTCTGGAGAGCCCTGAT